ATTGACAACAGGAACGACGACGAGTCCACGCCGTTGCATTTGGCCGCCAAGTTTGGCAGAACCAGGTATAGTGTACAGACTGTACATCAATGGGCACTCAGGGAAAATTGAGGAAGCCCTGAGCAGCCAACTTTTTTACTCTCACGCTGCTGCTGTCAATTTGCCCGAAGAGGCAAATAACTTGACTTGAGGAACGGGCCTATATGAAGTTATCGGAAAAGTGTAAGAGAGAAATTGAAAAAAATGTAATGCGAAAATTTTGAGAAAAAAGTTGCATTTTGAATTCAAGTTTCCACTATATGATGGGAGAAATCCGACGGAAATTTGATGGCGAATCCTAATTCGAAGTATGAATGGTAATGCTTTTTCAACCAGTCATTTTTAAAATTACAGTTTAATACAGTACCGTCATAATTGGCTGCTCTTTTCTATTTGTATTGTTCCCTTTTTTCTCAAATTTATTTCATTTTACCGCAGTGATTAATTCTGCTGGATGGAATTAATTGATTTCTCAGACTTGAGTATGCAAAATCCTGATTTAGACAAGACACGTTTTGTTGACCAATGAACCCGCTTCTGGAATGAATTAGGTCCGTTTCTCAAGTTAGTGTCTCAATGTTTAATGAACGCATGCAAAAGTAAAATAATGTTGATATTAGTACGGTATATACTGTGCAGAAAACATACATATAATGACTAATGTACGTTTTCTTTGTTTCTATTTCTGTTTCTGTTTCTTTCTGTTTCAGAGTTGTCAAAGAGCTGATTTCGAGGAACAGGAATGTGGTGACGGACGAGGATGAAAACGGCGACACTGCTCTGCATATCGCCTGTTCTGCAGGCCACGATAGGGTGCATATATTATTTAAAGTTACTTTTTAGAAGACGAAGTTTCAAGTTTCTTTTATTTTAAATACTGTAACTCGCCGCATTCCATGAACTCACTGGAAAAGTAACATGGGTTGATGCCATCCGCAGCATAATTGCAAATACGAATGTAATAAAATGCGTTTTTATTCTATATATAATGCTGGATTTTCTATTGATAATACGGATACTTTTCTGAAGGGGATTTCGTTGTTGTCCTTGCATGAAAGGAGCAAATGAGGCCTGCAATAACTCAAAAAATATCAACAAAAACCGATTGAAAATAATGAATGTGCAAAGTTTTCAATTCCAGGTCATATGTTCAATAATGCAAATATATATTTTCAAAATGGAACTGCATATATTGGTACGAATGGTTGTCATCAGCGCATATACTTGTTGAAACCGAGGCAATTTCTTAATCAGTACGTGTATTTTAAATAGTCAGCACCGTCACTCACTATTTTGGGATAGCTCATCACTTTCAATGACGTCTCTCTATATACTGTATACACTCTCCATTTCTGCTGGGTCTAAAATCCTAAAAGGCATCGTTTGAGAATTAACAAGTGCGGAAATTATCCTCGAGTAAACATTATTGCTTCCGTTATGTCTTGTCGATCCAATATACTAATGAATGGATGAATGAATGAATAATTGATCCACTACAAACACGTGTGTATATATATACAGGCAGGGAAACTGATCCTGGAAGCCGGTGCCGACGTGGAGGCGAGGAACGGGAAGCAGTGGACCCCGTTGGACTGCGCCGCCAGGAACGGACACCGGAAGTGCGTGGACATCCTGTTGCAGGCCGACGCCCCCCTCGACCCCGTGGACAAGAGAAGAACCACTCCGCTCCAACTCGCTGCTCGTCAGGGCCACCACGCAGTCGTGCACCAGCTGCTCAGGGCCGGGGCAGACCTGGCAGCCAGGGACTCCAACGGGATGAACGCCTTCGAGTTGGCCGTCATCCACAACCAAAGGTATACAGTACAATATACTTTACTTGAAACGGGTGTCTCGAAAAAAAATCAAAACAAGTTTATCAAAATTAAAACTTTGAAAATACTGTACATACATCCAGACAGCAATATGTCCCATCGAGATTATATATAAGCGAGGAATTTCCAAAAAATATTTCTAGAAAAAATTAAAAACTGTTATTTTTTGTCTCTAAAATGTGACTTTTCTTGAACAAATCGAACTACAGTATATTTAAACTTATAGAAGAACGTGATTCAACAAATGGACGCTCCGACATGGGGGGACACATGACCAATTACGTCCGCATCTTGGGGCACCATTGTAATATATGCCTCTTCAACTCTGTATAATTCTGTGAAATTAAATGAAAACACCTCGGATGTGAGCGATCGAAGAACTCAAGAAATGGCTGATATTAGGCTCAATTAATGAGGCACCGTCATCATCAGCTAAAAAGCTATTAAATACGAAGAGATACATGTTTTTATTGTTGAAACCAATACAAGCAGTATATTTTGAACTTTCAATTCTGATGTGTGCAGTATTTGTAAATGGACACGACAGGCAAGTGGCAGAGACGATCGTGGAGAGCGACGAGTGGCGCCAGGCCCTGATGAACGAACGCCGATCCCCTCGGACGGGATCCAGGATCACCCCGCTCCGGATGCTGATCCGCAAGTTCCCGGATGTGGCAGAAAAGGTATTCAACAGGTGTGTCAAAACCAACGGTCGCGGGCCCGAAGACAGACACTTCTCCATCACTTTCCTCTACGAATTCATCGACGACACGTACATGGCGTCACCGTGGAAATCCCCGACGGCGTCCACCGTTCGACTCGACGGCGACGGCGACGGCGACGACGACGAACTACTGCCGCCACTTATTCTTCCTCACCATCATGCGCCACGTGAGTTGCAACTGNCTGATGGCATCCGTTTTTTCTCTCTTTCTTATCGCTTTATGCGGTGTGTACATTTTCAAAACTTATTGATAGAGTTGAATTAAGATCATTCCAAATGCTCCAATAATTTCCTGCCGTCCACATTCGTTGTGCAAACTTGAAGAGAAATATCAGCCTGAACTGTATCTAGTTGAACCCTTGAATATAAATCGAAAGCGAATTCCCACATTCTGAATTAGTTTGAAGAAAAGTGCCACATACGTTTGAAGTTCGTGGAAAGCTTCGATTATTTGAAGAAACAGTAGTATCGAGATACAGTAGCTGGAAATTGAATGCTAATAAATTTCACATTGAGCAGTCATGCATATATTTCATTTACTGAACCACGCACAGAAATCATAGTGCACATATAGTATCTCATAATCATGTCATATAATTTAAAATTTGCAAAGAAAAGTGAAACCTATTTTCCCACGTATAGATTCTTTTGGAGACGATCACAAATTGAAGCCTGGGGTGAGGCCTTATGACGACAACGCACATGAAATCCGATCCAACCACCCGTTGAGCCTCATGTGCAAATTCAAGAGAACCGTGAGAAAATTTTCTGCTTTCATCAAATAATTCCGAAGTGAATGTGGATTCATTGATTTATTGCCTGCTGATTCGCAGCGACTGTTGAGTCACCCCTTGACAAAAGCGTTGCTCAGACAAAAATGGCAACAGTTCGGCAGGTACTTGTACTACATGAACTTGGTGTTTTACCTCGCCTTCCTCGGCTTGCTCACGGGATACATCGCGAGTACCCCGGGTCCGAAACCCGTGGAACCCGTAGAAAAGTGAGTTGATATTCTCCTTGATCTACTTTCAAACGGGGCTATGTAGGATTTCTGCGAATTAACTGGATGATGGAATATTACTCTGCAGAATTAATTTCCAGAAATTAAGGGATTATATATACTGTACTTGCAAAAAACGATGGTGTAATAATGACTTGACTTTCGAATATAAGGGCAGTATACATATAGAGAATTAATCCCCCATGAGCAAATACAAATGCAAATTTTTTAAAATATACAGTACAGTACAGTAATGCAATATATTGTACTGCAATTTTTACCTCGTCTCGATCCTTTTTCAGGGAAGCCGCATTGCCATTCCCCCCGAAAACGGAGAATTTCAAGTACAACTGCAGAAAGCTGGCCTCGGACGAGAACATCAGCAAGCAGAATCAATTCGCACACGCTGCGAAAATGGCACTTTTCCTCCTGGCCGCTTTGCATCTGGTTAAGGAGGTGTTTCAGATTTACCAGGTTATTATATAGAACACCTTTTATTTACCTTTAGGTTTGATATCGTCAAAATAAAGACCCGATTGCTGAACTGTGTGTGTGCGAATAATATAGTCTCATATTGCGTCATCCACAGGCAAGGTTCTGGAGGTATTTCACCTTGGAGAACCTCTTGGAGTGGGTGTGTTACGTGACTGCCCTTGGGCTGGTGATAGATTTCACCGAGTGCTCCGAAAGCACGGGTCTCAGAGAGGTGATGATTATTGTCTTGATATGATCATTCGTTATACAGTATAGTGTAATAAATAGTCGTCATCGTATAGTCAGATACTCACTCACTTATTTATCTTTTCTATTTTTTCCTGGTCATCAGCCTTGGCAATGGGCAGTTGGAGCAGTTTCCATCTTCCTGGGATGGATCAACTTGTTGCTTTTCATCAAAAAGTTTCCCTACTTTGGCATTTACGTCATCATGTTCACTGACATTTTCACGACCTTTTCCAAGTTTTTCCTCGTCTTTGTCCTGTTCGTGGTGGCGTTTGGACTGGGATTCTACACTCTTCTGCAGCAACAGGCGAGATGAATGAGAATCACAGAATAAATAAGGGTTTCTTACCAAATATTTCAATGACACATTTTTATTTTTATTAGCTGAATCAAAAAAATTTCATTCATCAATTGGAAACCCGGAAATTCATTAAAAAAACACTGTCGAAAAAAGTCATTGAAGTACAATGATCAAAAAAGAAAGACCAGCAATCTACGATGAGGGTTATTGTCCCACTTGCGACCTTGATTATTTCTGGAGTAGGCGTGGGTGTGATTAGAAAAATTATTATTTACCCCATGACGTGGTAAGCTAGGTTCTTGTTTTTTTTTCGAATTTATAACGTATCAATCCAGTGCACGATGAAAAAGTGAAAACTTCCCAGTTACTGCCATATACAGTACCATACTTGTACCTCTATACGCATGTCACAGAAGGGTGCTAGAAATTGAAATTATATTGTTGTTTAAGCCATGATCATTTTTAAATTTCAGATAATTAATTGTTGAATCAACAGAGAAATCTCAATTTCCAGCTGCTGTTGCCTGACAAATTTTTAGCACCGCCATGTGAGACATGGGTGGATATAACTAGCAAGTTTTCGTTTCTCATCACGCAGTAAAATAAATAAAAATTTAATCTGCATAAA